GACGGAATTTTTTGGCATGCAACTGCAACACCCAAGTAAAAAATGGGTATATGACCAAACAGAATCACATCCGAATGACAGTGATCACGAGGATAAGATAATTAAGAAAAGCTTAAAAGAATTGAAAGTCACTATCTTTACAAATAATGTGTATCTTCCTTTTCGGTGACTCAATCATAAGAACTCTATGGTTAAGTGGCTTTACTTGGAGCAATTCTATGTTAGGTGGTCTCTTCTACCACATGAATAAGCAGGTTTAGGAACCAAATAATGAATAGGCAGATTTCCATAGAAAAGTAGAGTGGAGAGGAAAGAAAAGATTCTCGACCGATAGGGAGAGGAACGAAGGAACTCGACTGTAAAGGATACGGAGAGGAGCGAGACTATAGGCAGAGATGGAGTGTACGTTTTAATTTATATTTCACTGTGTGCTTGCCCTACTATAGAAAGGAAATGAGACTGACTCATCGGAGGAAGGATTAAGGATTAATGAGAATTTTACTTGGAGCATTTCCTTTTGCATCAAAAAAAATAATTAGTAGTTATAATAAACTCCTAAATGTAGCAGTAAACAGATTCTAACCAACAATCTATTTCCTCCACATGTTGAGTAAAGGTTTTCAGATATTACCTTTTCCTCCACTTTCTTGAACAAACTAGGTAGAGTAGGCTGGACAAGTAAACCACGATTACCACTCTGAGCATTTCCCTTGGCCCGAGAACCATTTTTAGACTTAGAAATTGGTGTTTTATTTCCTTCAAGAAATCGAGGTCTTTCCACAGCATCTTTATCTTCAGAATCGACAGAGACAACTTCTGTCTGTATCAATCAATTAAGGGAGCGAACATACAGTAAAGCAGCAGACATAAATTTCAAGATTGAATTAAAACAAACTCAATAATCATAAACAGGATATTTTCACTCGCATGATCTCCAATTGAAGGTTCATGGATGACAATATTCTTTTCTTCTCCTTCAGAAAAATCAGCGTAAGTGCCAGCAGACTCCTCCTTCGAAAAAGCCTGTGCAAAACTGAAACACGAAAAGGAAATAAATTAAACGACATTACAAAAGGTAGACTCAACGATTAAGTTGGTTGTTTCATATTTGTACAGCCTTATAAGAATTATAAATCCAAACCAACGCACTGTATAGCAACTAACACCATCTAGCTGATGAAGTGAAAGAAACTGGAGTTCTGAATGGGCTTAAGGTAGTTCAACAAGACAAACACCTAGGATTAAAGCGGTGCTCACTCAAATTCGCTATGGTCGAAGAAGTAAAATAATTGGAAAAAATATTTAAACAGAGGAGCTGTTAGGAATATTAGTAATGACACGAATGTGGACGTTATGAAAAACATGTTTTAAAGTTACAAACTTTTAAAATCATAAACCAATTATGGACATCCAGCATAATATTCTACCATTCATAGTACTGACTGCTGATCAAATAAGCCATTTGATATCAAATAAGCCAATTGCTTTTCTGCCTTATTGATATTAGATAGCAATTACGTAGTAACAACATAAGCAAAGGGTAATACTTGAATACTTTTCCGGCAGATCTTTCAGAATGTCTAACTGGCGTAGTCTTCATTGAATTTGTCATGTTGTCTTCCAGGTCCACTAAGTCATCTCCATGTTCTCCTTTAAGGGATTTTTCTTCGGCACGATTGATTCCCTTCTTTTGAACACTCTGCTTACTCGTACTGGCAACACCAGCACCACCGTTAAAGTCATATTCTCCACATTTTCCCTGACATATAACAGCTAGGAGTTAGCAAATTCTCTCCGTCTTTCTGTCTCTCTCAAAATGAACTTCAATTCAGAAAGTGAAAGTACAATAGAAAGGCAGGAACAACAGCACCAGCCCCAAATAAAACAGTGCAGACTCGCGAAACAACCATACAAGAAGCTTCACATATAAGCCCTCCAGGAGATGCGGAAATGAAATTGATATACTACCTTACTACAAGTGGTAAAGCGTGTGATGAAGAAGAAAATGTAATAAGAAAGGGAAATTCACAGGACGGGAAGAACAAGTACACCAAAGAAAAAAAAAACGTAAGAAACCGAACTTTCAATAAGAGAAATGAAAGTATATGCAAGGACATACAAAAAAAAAAAAAAAAAAAAAACAAACAAGAACAAATATCCTATGGAGCATCCACGAACAAGAAGATTAAATCAGACGATGAATTCTTACATGGGCCAAGGAAAGAATGGATCAAACACTAACAAGAGCAATGCAATGATATTGACCAGCCTGACGGATAACTTCAATATAAAAACATAATAAGAGAGTTAGAACCAGTAATATTAGGCTTCTTACAACAATAAAATCAGCTTCATGGAGGTTCCAAGAAGAGTTACAAATTAAAAAGCATGAAGAAATTAACTAAACGACTGTTTAAAAAAGTATCGACACTGCCCCGTTAAGTTTTTTCTTTCTTTTTGCTAAATGGGCACACAAGGAAATTAAAAATTTTAGTCAACAAAAGTTATAGTCCTTTCACGGAATGAAATTATTATGCGACTCTCATAAGGGATGCATTCACATTATTCTGCTCCATTAATAATCTTCAGAAACGAGATGCATATGGAAATTTTACATGGGAAACGTAGAGGCACTCGAAAAACCAAAAAAAAAAAAAAAAAAAAATTTAAGAACCTGAAAATTATCAAGAAACTTACCATAGTCATTTCTTTAGGAAAATCAAGACGGTCCTCCTCTGGATTTTCATCTTTTGTTCCAATCCACCATGCATCAGAAAAGACAATCTGCAGTCGGAGAAAAAACCGTTGAGTCATAATATATATGCTTAGAGGCCTTATTTCTTAAATCCTAAGAAAAAAGGTGTTCCCACCATTATGATGATTAAACTAAGAGAGTCGTTCAACATAGTGAATTGGAACCTAACAATTGTTCTTAATCTGAAGATAGTAAATAATGGCAGGGAACAAAAAATGATACAATCTGGCATCTACTTGAGGCATCGTTTGCCAAAACACCAGGAGAACTTAACCTGGTTTTTTCTTCTTCTTTTTCCCTTTATTTTTGGTGGGGGGATGATTTTCCTTGCCACACTTTGTCGGGCAAACATATCATTTAAGAAGAGATCTTGCTAGATGTTCGCAAGCTCTGGCCAATACTTGACTTATTGTCTGCTCAGACAAAGGCCTCATACTAACAGAAGCCTTGCACCTTGAGCATCAGCATTTTAGGCACCATGCTTCATTGGAACTGCTTGACTTTATTTGTTCAACATGATGCCATCTGTATCGACTTCAATAACGAGATTAAGAAAATAACTTCCACATTGTGATTAGTGAATTCTCGGAAAAGTTATTAACGATAAAGATCCTAATTTCTTAAAGAGGGAAAACCCACAATTTTATCTATATCAGCTTGCCACCGCTAGTAGATATTGTTCTCTTTGGGCTTTCCCTTTCGGGCTTCCCTCCAACCCACCAACCCTCGAAGGTTTTTAAAACGCATATACTAGAGTGAGATTTCCACACCTTGATAAAGAATATTTCGTTACCCTCTCCAATCGATGTGGGGATCTCACATTATCGACATTCAAAAACTATCTAAAAACAAAACCAAGAGAAAGGCCAATACATTAGATCTAATCGAGCCCAACTTGCATTGAATCTGAGGATTTTTGCCTTATCTTTGAAAGAAAAGACACAAAGATGCCAAAAAAAAAAAAAAAAAAAAAGGGG